TGTGTTAAAAACAAATATAACATTGAATTGTATTGAATTCATATTTTTTTTAAACAGTTGATGAAAATTTCAGTAGCGGCTTCGCCTGTGTGTGAACCTGGCCAGCGGCTATTGCTTTTTGTTTGCGTTGTGTTGCATGCATGCATGCATGCAGACGGGAGCCGTTTGGATTGGTTTTTTAGCGACAAAGAAACAGCGCAGAAGTTCATCAGTGATGTTTCTCCCCTCAAGTTCACAGGGCCCGGGCAGGAGAACGGCGAGTCGTTTCAGCGGTGGCGTGTGTCGCGGCGTCTGCGGGCCAGCGGCAGAGAGGTGCCATTTGACTTGTCTCAGAAAACAGCAGACAACAGAGCCTGCAACGAGCCCCCTGAAGGAACTGATGCAGCAGCAGCAGCAGCAGCAGCAGCAGCAGCAGCAGATGCAGATCCAACCCAGAAGTCGTTGCAGGTGTCAGGAAAGGTGGGGTGTCTGTGTGTGGGGTTGTACACGCAGCAGCAGTATCTGGCGGTGCTGCTGCGAGTGTATGGAGCCCGTTTACACTTAAAAAAAAAACGGCGAGATGTTGCTCTGAAGGCAAAAGTTGGTGAATTCTTTGTGGAGCATGCAAAGGCCAAAGATGCTCAGAGACGCAGCATCGTTCTCTGCAAGAAAGTTGTTCACATAGGGGCGCAGTGTCGTCGTTTCTGTCCGTCCCCCGGCACCGTCGCTGCCTCTTCTCCTGTGCCACGCTCTGAGGACAGTGACCCCGCTGCCCTCATCCGCGCCGAGATGGACCAGTGGTCAGGCGACAGCCGACAGACCAGCAGAGAGGTTTCTCCACGGCTTCAGAGACGAGAGGCATGCGGCCCGACGAGGCTGCCGTACCCAGAAGACGCCCCGGAGCAGAGACAGCGTAGCTCTGCCACGAGAGGCTCGCATAGCAACCGGGGGAGAGAGAGAGAAAGAAGTAGCCGGAATAGGAACAGTGCAGATGGTGGCGGCCTGGGCCACTCATACAGCCCCCCAGGCACGTCGTGCCCCTCTGACGACGGGCAGTCTCTGAGGCCGCCGATGGAGCAGCTGAGACAGCCCCCAAAGACGAGGACAGAGCAGCAGCAGCAGCAGCAGCAGCAGCAGNAGCAGCAGCAGCAGCAGCAGCAGCAGCAGACGAAGGGAGAGCAGATGCAGGACACGAGAAGAGATGGAGAGACAGCCACAACCAGCAACCCACTGCTGCGTAGACAGCCTATCCACGCCGCCTTGCCGATGCTTGACCCGGGTGTCTCTCCGCCTGCAGCATCTGACCAAGACGAAGACTGCGGCACCCTGAGTGATTTCTCCGAGAGACAAGTTAACAACACATACGAGGAGACAAGAGGAGACGCGTCTCTGGCGTTTTCTTCTTCGGAGACAGAAGTGAGGGAGAAGCGATCGCTGCCTCTTACCCGCCACAACAGCATCCATGGCCGCCCCCGTCACAGCCTGCTGCACGGCCACTCAGCTGGCTTAGACAGCGAGTTCATCAGACACCTAGAGAGACAACCTATGAATGAGTTGGTGCGTCAAGCCCGGGCGCGTGCTGGGGGAGCAGCACTGCGCATGCATCACCACCACCGGGGCTTGCCGTGGCACTGGAAGAGCAGCGGGGCTGCTGACAACGGCCAGACAGAAGCCGTCAGCGTCAGCAACGCCTCGCAGGGCCGCCTGACATCTCAGAGCTCCTTCACAGAGTCTGAGAGACACAATGGGGGATCGATCTCAGCTGGAGACGATCCCCCGTGGATCTCTGATGTTGTGGGGGACTGGACCCTGCGGGATGAGCCGGATGGAGAGGCCAGCAGCAGGACGGGGGGGGGGGGGNGGGGGGGGGGGGGGGGGGCTTCACAGCCCTGTCGGCCACGACTGCTGCTTCGGTGTTGCGGGGGCCCCTCTGAACCTGCTGCTGTTTGAGGACAAAGACAGCAGCAGAAACAAAACAAAGAAAAAAATCAAGGACTTGGGAGCCGGAAAGAAAAGAGATGGAGTGAAGAAAAACACAGATCAGATGGCGTTGTCTCTGCGTCTTCAACCCGAAATAAAAAGGACAGAGGCCCAGCTCTGTCTGCAGTCTCTGCATGCGTTTCCTACAGCTAACCTTCTCTGTTGTCTCACGGACTCTGCTCTCTGTCTTAAGAGTCTATGGAACGAGGAATCTATCCGCTCCCGCTGCCTCATCGCCTGCTTGCTGGGAGACGTACGATCCCAGAAAGCAGCGCAGACAGCCGGGCTCAACTTGCAGGCATCTGGAGAGCCTGAGGTGAAAGAGCCCCCCAGGCGGCGCTTCACACTCAGCAGGCGGCTGTCGCAGCAGCAGCACCACCACCACCACCACCACCAGCAGCAGCAGCACCGAGAAGACAAGTACAGCAGCAGAGGCACCGATAGCGGCAGCGACACCAGCAGATACAGCAGTGACTCTGTGCCTATAGGGAGCCCAGTACGTGGGTTCACGAAGCTGCGTAAGCAGTCTAAGACAACCTTCAGCCGTCGTGGGGGCCCCGAGAGTTTCTATGACGCAGACGAGGACTTTCTGGGGGGCCCCTCATCAGCTGAGGGGCTGAGAAGAAACAGTAGGAGTGTGTCAGGGGGCAGAAGGCGCAAGCGGCAGCACATGCATGCGGCAAAAGACAAGAGCCAGAACACAGAGGGGACAACACGCGGGCGCAGCAACCACCCGGGAGCAGGCGTAGGCGGCAGCGGTGACGGCCCCTCTCTTGGCGCTGGCTTCGGAGTTGATCTAGCTTCTGAGAGCACTGACAACTCCCATCTGCAGCAGCAGCAGCAGCAGCAGCAACAGCAGCAGCAAGAGCAGCAACAGCAGCAGAAACACAGGCAGCAGGACCCTTCAGCTTCCTCCTCCGATGCAGCCCTAGGGCATGCAGGCGAGCGCCGAGGACCCCAAACCCAGCAGCAGCAACANTGCAACCTGCTGACGGACGACGCAGCAGCTACCTTAGGCGCAGAAGACCTAGAGCTGGCGGAGACGGGGGGAGCAGCAGGGGCTGGGGGGGGAGGCGGCTGCGACGCCGAACCCTCCTCAGTGCCTCATCCTACATATGTCTCCTCACAGGAGCAGCAGCAGGGGAAGCAGCAGTTCGTGCGGGGCCGACGGAGACAGGGCCAGACAGCAGCTAGCAGCACAGCAAGTCGTCGCAGCAGCAGCAGCTGCAACAGGGAGCTGAGCAGCACGGCATCTACCGCCTCCACTGACGCTGGCGCAGGAGGAGGAGACGCTGGCCTCGCCTTTCCCCCCTACCCCATGCTCTTCTCCCCAGATGTATGTGTACCCCAAGGAGCCGGGGCCCTGGGCGAGGGCCTGATGGGGGACTCTGCGCTGCGGCGAGCGGTGGTGGCGGACGCGGCGGCTCTGGGTGTGAGGCTGGAGGCGGTTATGCGTGTGACGTACACGAGCGTGCCCACAGGCAACAGCAGCAGCAGCAGCAGCAGCAGCAGCAGCAGCAACAGCAGAAGACGAGAGGAGCTGAAAGATACATTGAGAGTCGGCATATGGAGACTAGAAGCAACACTCGTCAGAAACTGCACGTGGACCCTGGCGAGTGCAGTGCTCTTCGATGCAAACTTTGGCGCCGAGTGTCTCCGTTTGCTTCCTCCTAAGAGGAGACGCGGGGCAGCTGGGGGAGCCAGGGGCGGGGCGAGGACCAGTGGTCCATGGCGAGCTGCTGCAGCAGCAGAGACAGAAGGGCCTTACTGGCGCTCAGCTCGCTTGAACGCTGTAGCAGAGAACGACGAGGAGGGAGACGGAGACACCCCGAGGGCTCTGCGTAGAGCTTTGTGGGGTGCTGAGGGCAGAGGAGACACCCGGGGAGGAGACAGCCACCACCGCAAGCCCCCAAAGTCTCATACATTAGGTCTATGGGAGCAGCGAGGAGCTGCGGGGGGGCTGGGCCTGCAGGAGGGGTATCTGAGTGCCGATGGTTCTCTGCAGGAGAGAAGGTATGAGAGAAAGAGTAGAGGGAGCGGGGCGTATGAAGGTGTTCATGGGGGGGCCAGCGGGGGAGCTGCAACGCCTCGGGGTATTGGGAGAAGAAGAGACAGCTGCGGTGATGGAGACGGCATGCGGCGGCTTTTCTCTGTGAGTGTGCCGCGGAGACTCCCCAGCAGCGGCAGCTCCTCTCTCTTTCGTTGGGTCTTCGGCTCAAGAAACACACAAAACAGCGCGCTGCCGACAACGTCAAGCCCCGTGGGTAGCAGCCCCCAGGCGGGCTATCACATGCATGCGGGGGGGGTGGATCCCAGGGGCCCCACAGCTTACTCTGAGTTCGATAGTTCTATAGATAGAAGAGACACTGCAGCACCAGCAGCAGCAGCAGCAGCAGCAACAGCAGCAGAGCCCAAGACCTATGCAGACGGAGACATGTACTTCTCAGGGTATCAGCCAGATGTAGGAATGCCAATGCGACCCAAACAGCAGCAGCAGCAGCAGCAGCAGCAGCAGCATGCGGGCCCTTCTGCAGCAACTGCTGCTGGTGGGGCCTCACCCACACGCTGGGGGGGCAGCGCGGGGGGCTGGACACGCAACCTGCTGCGGACGCGGCGGAGCATCTCTACTCTCAACAGCGGCGAGCCTGTGAGGCCCCCCTCTAGCCCTAGCCCCCCGAAGGGGAGAGAGGGCCCCCGGTACCCTTTCGATGGAGACGGCAGCGGCCACGCATCGGGGGCCCTTCAGTTCACTGACACCAGACACCTCAATAGACGCAGCACGGGGAGAGCTGGGCTGAGACAAAACCACCAACAGGATAACAGTCTGCATGCGCTACGCAGCACACGCGCATTCAGCGCTATGCCCAGGTAAGATATATTCACCTGCGCCGATACACTCGCTTCACTCTTCCCCCTTGCATGCATGNTGCATGCATGTGTGCCCCGAGTGTTTAATAAAAGTTAAGAAAGAGGTGTCGTGTTGGTTCATCAGAGAGAGCCCTTTGCCCCTGCAGCAGCAGCAGCAGTGAGTTGTATAATATGTGTGTGTCTGTGTCTGTGTCTTTGTCTGTGTCTGTGTCTGTGTGGGGTGTCAGTGTCGGCATGGGGGGCTTTGGGCGCAGCCAACGATCCCCGCAGGATCGCTTAGCTGAGCAGCTGGGGCGGGCGTCTGTAGAGCAGCGGCTGCGAGCTGCTGGGGACTGTGCAGCAGCACGAGGTTCTGCTGCAGCAGCAGCAGCAGGGAGAAGGGGCTGTGGGCGCCGCGCAGCAGAAGCAGCAGAGGGACAGAGGAGAGAAGAAGAAGAGAGAGAGCTGCTGACATGCACAGCCATTGATCTCGAGATTAAACGTGTTGCTGTATGGAGCGCGGTGTATCTACAGGACAGCAAAGCAGCAGCAAACCCATGCAGAGCTGTTGCTGCAGCAGCAGCACTAGCACTTGAGAGATCGAGGAGACACGGAGACACCCCACACAGAGACAGTGTTGCTGCTGGGCTAGCACCTGCTGCTGCTGCTGCAGCAGCAGCAGATACAGATGTAAGAGAAGGAGACAGCGTCGCCGGGGGCAGCTCGAGGAGCCACCCCCCCCCGGGTCACCGCATGCATGTCTCCAGGGGGCTGAGGAGACTGTCTCCGCGTGGGGCTCAGTGGCTGACGATAGACGGAATGAGGAGAGTGAGTGGGGCCTCAGGCGACACGGGGAGGGCCTCGCCGGCGTCTCCGGCTTCTCCGTCTTCTCCTGCAGCAGCAAAGGAGACAGAGAAAAACGAAAGCAAGCGCAGCATCAGCAGCAGAGCAGCAGAAGAGATGCAGCAGCTCACTGTGCTCCTGGGAGAGGTATGGGCAGAGGACTGGCTCTCTGTCTCTCTCCCTTCTCCCCCCCCCTTCGGTGCATACGTCAGGGCCCAGGCCGGGCGCGTGCTGCTGCTGCCGGTGCTGCTCCGCGCAGCGCCCAAGTCCGAGCGGGGGCTGCTGCAGCGGCGGCTCGAGGAGGCTCAGAGTACAGTGGAGTCAGAGACCATCGCCAGCAAGAAAGACCGTGCTGCAGGTGAGATACCGTGGGTTGTATAGGCAGCAGCTGCGGTGAAGGGTGTAGCAGCAGCAGCAGCAGCAGCAGCAGC